CAGTAAAGAGGCAGAGAACAAGAAATCTTCCAAGGTAGGTGGCTGTTCAGAAAACAATGTTGAATTAGAATGGTTTGTTACTTCTATAGTTTTCCTCAGTGCATTCATTTGCAAGGCTTTTACAGCCATTCCCCAATTTAAATAATTTACATACCATTTGAAGCTCTAAATACTGTAAAAACAGATGCAAAAGATTAATGGTGGAAAGAAAACTATGTGATCTTAGATTAGTTAGAGGTTATTGTTTGGGTTTGGGAGGTCTTGTTGGTTTTGATTTTGCTTTTGGCTTTTACAGTCCTCTCTTACACAAAAAGTACTTTAGCCTTGAGCTGGTTTAAGTATTTGTAAAATTATTTAGGCATCCACCATAAAGAGGTATCATTCCCAGTCACATCATGTGGGTTAACTGTACAGGCTCTACAGCCCAGGAACACAAACTCACTATCTGCTGATTTTTAACTGCAGGTGCCAAAAAATTAAAGTAGAGGCATACAAAGAAGTTGGTATTTTGTTGAAAATGTTAACTAGTAATTTTATCAGATCGGTAGATTCAGATTGATAGAGTTCCTTAATGTGATGTTTCCCACAGGTCTCGAATGTGAAGTGTTATTACATGGGCTGGACTGCTATATTTTAAAGATTGTCTAGAAGAGTAGAAAATAGCATTTTTACTTTATTTTTAATATGTCATGATAGCCATTTACAGCCAAACCAGCCATTGCTGCAACCAGAAGCATTTAGAGCTCCTTCTTTTTCTTTCTAATTGATGTCTTGTGTGGTTAACATTCCTTGAAACACTTTCTAAATTCATAGGATGACCCAGGTTGAAAGGAGCCTCAGGACATCATTTAGTTCCACCTTCAGCTCAAAGCAGGACATTCTTGCGATCAAACTTTGTCAAAGTATTTTGGCTTAAAAGCTCCTAAGGCACTTAGAGACCACAGAACATTTTACCTTAAAATTGAAACTCCTGAGAAATTATGGAGTTAAAAAAGTGCATAGGGAGCCTGTAGCTGGAGGGCTCCAGAGATCTCTCCCATGTCCCAGGCACATGCTGATCAACCCAAAGCTTTCCACCTTTCCAGACCACAGATGGAGAAGCAGCACTCCTTGGGTAGGCTGAGAGACCTTTTTCAGCTCACTTACCTGTGTCTGCAGTTAAGGATTCCCATGCACAAAGGATTACTGAGCTCCAAAGGCAGCTTGACAAAAAAAAACATGTGAGGTAGAGCATTGCCAAGTCAACTGCCCTCTCTCTCAGCCTTGCAGCTCAGGAAACAAAGTGGGTACAAGCCCCACAGATTGACAGGGAGGTTTCGCTCTTTCATTTGAAAAGTTTGGGGCTCCAAGAGTAATTCCTTACTTTGTTTTACTGATAACATCATTATCTTTGCAGATTCTTGCATCCCTTTCTTCGCTGCTGCCACATTCTTCCCTACAGAGCATTTTCCAACACTCTATCCAGTCATGTTTCTAATTGCTTAAATATGGGACTCATGAGGTTTACCATTTTGCTCGGTAGGTTGGTCTCAAGCCAGCATTTCCCATGATCCAGTCCCACCACATCTCTATATCGCTATTAATATAGGTCTCACTGCTAGCAACTGCCTACTCATCTCAAGCCAGAAGCTCCCACGATTCACTTCTTTGCACCTATGCTTTATTCTGACCCATTTTTATGGGTCATAATATGGTCAGACCCATATTCTGACTCATTTTATGTTTATATGAATTTTCATGTTTTTTCTTCTAGAAAA